TGCTTTCCTTCTCCCTACTCTACCCTTACTTTTTCAGCCAGTTGTTGTTCTCCCTACAAACCCATTCTTGCTTCTTAGTTTCATGTCCTAGAACTTCACAAAGTATTTGGTTCACCCAGTCCTCTCTCCCCGTCTCACTTCTTTCACCTATTCATTTACCAACCAAGAGTTTCACTCTCTAAATCGAGTACCATTTGCTTTCTCTGCTGCACAGCTGAGCACTCCACTCCTGGCACTTCTTGCTCCCCCCTCCTGCGCCACCCACTTGCTGTGGCATCCAGATTGCCCCTGTGAACCCAGCTCCACAGAACCCAATGGCCCCTGCTGTACATTTATGAAAATTTTGCAGCTCATTATCTCCTGGGAAAAACTTGATGGCAGTTTTCTTAGCCAGGAGACTTCGCTTCATAATTCTGCTTTTACTCTTCTTAATGTTAGTGGAAAGCATGAAACTCTAGATCTGACATAGAGCCCTTGGTATTTTCCTGTTATGCACATCTCTTGTCATTATGCTTTAGCATTAGTTGATGAAAGAGACAACAGACAAGTCACCTCTCTTTCTGCTCCCAATCTACGTCTGCCTCATCTAATCAGCACTTTATGCTAGCGATTGCCTTTTATTACGTGCTTAATTCAGCGCATAGCACTGTGAGGCCTAGACTTCTGCTGCATCCCTATATCCAATTCACGATTATTAGTCCTTTTTTCCAGGTACCATACATTTCACCTCCAGATTCACCTACTGCAATAACTTTTATAGTCTTCCAGTTACTCCATAAACTAAGGTTTGGTTAAGGTTGCTGCAGACAGATGATTCGATACTTCCATCATCTTTAAAGCCTTTCTGTCTACAAAATGGTGACACCCACCTTAGCAAATATCGCTTTCAGGGCAATTAAAATATAATGTTTATAAAAAGCTAACTAGGAATCTTCCAGCACAGACCTCTAGGCAATACCAGAGCCTTAACTTTGCAACTGCACTCTGCTCCTGAATTTCAAGGCCAGGTAAACATCTTCAGTTCAAACCCATCTCTTTCTGCATCCTTTGAGTACACCCCTTTTCTTATTAGTCGATATTGCTCTCACAGGTGGAAAAAAAAAAAAAAGAAAGAAAAACAACAACACATTAAAATCTGAAAAGCAGATGATTGCTGCTCTGGAAAATCTTTTTTTTCTTCCAAAGCCCCTATCTTGCACTCTTTACATATGGCTGAAAGACAATAGTCGTCTGAAATATGAAAGCTCTCCCAGTAGAAAGGTGACCACGCAAGGCTAAATGCAATAAAACTAAAAGCTTTTCTCCTTTTGCGTTTGCTGTGTGGGAAAAGAACCAAGGATTTGTTGAAACAGCGATCTGACAAAGAGAAACAGAGCAAGAGCTAACAGCTGATCATCCTTCCCCCCTGAAAGACCAAAAAGAAAATTGAGATATTAAAACAGAAATCCTCGCATTTAAAATAGCAGACATTGCTAAATCCACTTCACATCATGTATCATGTGCCCTTTAGATGCTGGTCAGTAAAGTCAAAATCTTCCCTTTGTTCACAATTTCATTATTATTTCTCCTGCATCACTCCCTCTTGTTTAATAGCCTGGGGTCAGGCCCCAATTTATCACACTGCACACTGTTAACCCTATAATGTATTTACTTCTTTCTGCCTCCTCAGCACAAGATTACTGCCCATGCATTGCAGTGAATGTATAATGTATTGCAGTCTGCAGTATGACTTGCATACTTGGTCAATAAATAAAATATGGAATATTTATAAAGAACTTATACCCATCAAACTGAATACATAACATATGATTTTCTCATATTCAGCTATACTTTCTAAAAACAGTGTTAGTTGTCCTCCTTTTTGCTGTGCAGCAGAACATGACAACCTTTTCCAGGTTTCACAAGGGATGAAAAGTGAGGATCTCCCTTTCCAGCATGGCCCACAAAAAAAGGCTGTCCGAACTGCAGCTTTTATGCTCACCTTTGTATGGGGACTCTTAGCTTTCTTAGGGAGATCCCCTGACAGTGGAAATGACAGGGCTTCTATGCTCTGCAACAGCTCCACAGTAGGAAAAACCGCTGCTGCCCCATGCTAAACTATTCCTTATCGAGGACACCACAACTGCCCTGCCACCCTGGTCAGCACAGGGGTTAAACAAAACAGGTTGGTCCTGGGCCTTATTCTACCTAATAGTCCAAATTAACCACAATTTTGATGAAAATGAATGACACTAAATTTCCTATGAAGACGAAAATCTGAACTCAGTTTTTTGGCTATTGCTGGCTTCAGTAGTCAGTTCATTTATCAGTTACTTAGTCATGGAGCCTGCAAATTGGCAGCTTTTGCTGACTGCTAATTCTCTTAGGTGAGAATATCTTGCACAAATAAGAAAGCTACATTAAAATGCCAGCATTATATACAGCATGACATTTTCTACTCTCCCTGAAATGATTTATCATAGTCATGTTCACACTCATTCAGCCTCCCGCACCATAATTTATTGGGAAACTGTTCCATAATTGCTGGTATGACTTTGACAAGAATTATAAGATGAGAAGACTTCAGTCATTAACCATCTAGAAATTATCAAGTGTTATCCTCACACATGACAACAAAAGCTACGTTGACACTTCATCCAGTCACATCACTTTCCATATCCATACATATTACCCCTTCAGGAAGGGTGCTCCTCTCCCAGCTGCTACGAAGAGTCCAAAGAGGCTGCAAGACAGAATTTTCAAGCCTTTTCAAAGTAAAACCCAACAGCCTCCGAACTAAAATCCCCTACCCCCTAGCTATCACTGCATTTGGGGGAAAGCCTGTGAAAACCGAAACATATACAAATAATGCCACAAGCAAGAAAAGAAATTAGAAACACAATCGTTAGAGTAAATGGTATGATGAAGCTAGGTGATTTACTGTGTCTACATGCACAAAGGAAACATTCGTGTGTGTATTTCCCTGGATATAGTACCATCGCACCTCACACTGTGTTGCGCGCTGTAGCTCGGTTTTACTGCAGAATAAATTGCCCATCCATTCATTCTCCTGGATATTTCTCTGCCTTTAAAACTGAAAGCGCTGAGGCAAAAAAAAATGAATGCCTAGCAGTAGCCTTTCCAGTCCACATTTACATGCCTAAATATACTTGTTAAGCATCATCAGACATTATTGGATCCAAGAGAGCTCTGGATGCATCACACCATTGACCTCTTCAGCATTATTTTAAAATCACGCTTCACGTTTCAGTGACCAAATATGGGCTTAAAGTTAAAGCATCCATTTCATTATGATGACAGGTATACTTTGCTCTACCCCGTTGCTATAGTAACAAATATGGTAGCCATTAGATTTACGGTAGAATGCATTCCCCAAAGGTAATTTTTTTCATTGTCACTTGCATGATCATACCAAACTACCTAATTACAAAGAGAACGTAGAGGATATGCTGTTAGCTGAGTTCAGCAGCTCCTACAAGTCTTGCATTCACCTTCTTTGGGTTTAAATGTGGGAGATAAAAGATACTGATGCTTTAAACAAAAGATGTCAAAATTCTTGCTCCAGATGAACTAATGAAAAATTAAGAGGAAATCGTACGCTAACCAGGACTTAACAGAGTACAGCTATCCCAAATTCTGTGCAGCATGAAAGGGAAAATATTTATCACCTGTGAGAACATCATTTTTGGCTTCACTGAAATGCAATGGAAATTATTAAAAAAATTCCAGACATGTTTCCTGCCTGTTATCAAATACACATCAGAATTCTTCTCCTGGTTTAACATTTTGAACATACCCTATGGTGAGACTATTTACATTGAAAGCTGTAAATGTTACAGTTTTCATCAAAATTCTCAATTTTTATAAGTCAGGTAAGGGAAAAAAACCTACTACAGCAGCAGCTGAGAACACAGTGTCACAGCTGGCATACACGTAGCTGGGAAAATGTTCTTAAGCTACAGTCATTCAAGGAAATGGATACCACAGCAAACAATTAAATAAGTCCTTTTCCTGCCTCTTTTCCTTGTCAAGCTGAAAAGAAGCCAGTATTGCATCAATGAAAATATTTTCACAATATTTTAAATTATAAAGTTGTTACATTCTTAGATTTTATACATTTCTTTTCTAAACACAATGATGTTAAACTAACTCAGAAGCTGATTTAGCGTTCAAGGTTTCCATGGATCAAAGTTTTAAAGTATGTTTCTGTTCCAATCAAATTTTCAGTATGAACCTTTGCATCTGTAAATATACGTGTAACAACCTATCTGAAATCTAGAGGGTAGCTCTGATACTTTCTAAAGTGCTCCCAGTAATGCTGGGGCCAAACTGTACAGCCGGCCCTCAAAAAAACACAGGAATACCTAAGTTGTTTTGAGGGGAACTAATATAACCCTCATCTCAAAGGGATCCTGGGGAAAAGAGGTATTCCATTCACATAGACAAGGGTTTCTTGAAAATGGAAGTCTACCATAATGGACTAGTACTATATGACATGGGACAATCAGTGTAAATTTGTAGTAAACCAAATAATAGTTAAAACATTAGGTGCTTCCATAAAGGATGAACAAGATTATATTTAAATTGAATTCCACTATCATCTTGTAAAAAGATAATACATCTCTGTAGTTAGATTTACAAAAAGAGATATTTGCAGAATCAATGAATCAACACGAATCAACCTGAAGCAACTGTAGGTCCATGCTGCCAAAGAAACCACTTCCCAAAAGACTTCAGAGCATGTTTCCTACTTGTCCACGTGATTATAACCTTTCTGCTCTAGCACTACATATAGTGCTCATGTTGCTTTTGAATCTTTTTCAAACCACTTTAGAAAGTGGGGAAAAAAATAATTAAAAAAATCAACAGTTCTTGGCTATAGTGATATCATCCAGTGCTATAAGAAGGGGAATTTAGAGCTGGTCAGAACAAACAGCCACATTACAGGAATAAATGAATCATTTCACCAGATGTTACAAACATCTAGGTATTTTCCTTACCTGCCTCCTGTCCCTCTGAGACGATGATGAAGAGGAGGCACTTCTATGTGATGGAGTGGATGTTTTATGAGCTGGAGATATACTCTTCTCCTCTGAACTCATCTTTGCAGCAAACTTGTAGTAATGATCTTGTGCTCTTATCACTCATGTACAAAAAGGCAAGGGATAGTCTTCTGCATTCTTCTGTTTCACAGTTGATGGACAGCCAAAGAGGAATTCAATCTCAGCTGAACTGCACCTTAATAAAGAAAAGTGTGAGACAAAGAGTGAATGAATACACCCTTGCTCCAAAGTAGCTCTGCAGCAAATAAATCTGTTGACAGTCACTATATAATCCAACAGATCTCCCAGTTTTTTACTTTCCTTCCTAATAATTACCCAGTACAAACACAAATACATTGTTCTGCATTCTCACAGAAGAAGAAAGTAGTATTACCTTATTTCAAAAATCCCTACGGAAAGGCTTAAGGAATTTACAGCAATTCTCAGGCAAAGTTTACAAATCCTTGGCAAGGGGTTGTTATCCCATCTTGCATAGTATCACAACATTATCAAGTAACTCTGTAGGACTTCCCGTACAACACAAATGCCACCAAACACCTTGTTATAATCAGTACTTCCTAAAAATCCTGCAGTTAGATTAAGGAGTCTCCAAGTTGTTTTTTAAAAGCATGTCCCTCTTTCAAAGAGTGAAGTTGAACCTCGGAAAAATGGGAGGAGAGGTGTTGTTTTAATGTCTTTCAGTTCTCACTACCCAAGGCTATTTAGCTGGCAATAAATTAATGTTCCTTAAGTTGATTTTTGCCCACAACAGTAATTGATCGGCAGTCTCCCTATCTTTTTCTTGACCCATGAGCTTTCTTGTCCTATTTTCTACCCCCTTGCTACTGATGCAGAGGGGGAGTGAGTGGCTGGGTAGGCATTTGGCTGCTGGCCAGGGCTAACCCACCACAGCTACAGGGGCCATTCTCTTTCCTGTTTACTCAGCCACTGCAAGTATTAGATGCTTTCTCTCACTTACTTCTCTCTACCCAAACCTTTCAATTCCATCCAAGAACAGAAAAATAGTTACTTAGAGCAGCACAGGGGATATTTGTGTCACTAAACAGCTAAACACTACCAAAATGTTGGAAGCACATCACCAGTACATCATGACAGTTCAGGAACGGAGTTACAGGTCTCAGTGCTTAACAGATTACTTTGATCTTGCTTCAGCTGATAGGTACTGTGTCTGATCTTCCATAAACCTTAAATAAAATCGTTCCCTGAATGATGTCATCTGCTTGAAGCTAGCATCTATCTTCACCACCCTCTCTCTAATTTTGAAATAGTGCCCCACTTCCACATAGACTGCGATGACAGCACACCAAGGGTCAGCACAGCACAGCTAGCTTTAGATGAATGTGGAGAAAGGTGCTGTCCTGCACCATTTTAAATGAGATCAGGACAAAAATATATTAACTAACACTCAGGCATGACTGCAGGCTCAAGGAATTATGACATACTGAAGACAGCTCTAGCTTCTCCATTCACGTCAAATACCCATGCAAGAATATCATCCTGAACCCAGATAGTCATACAAAGGCAGCTAAATAATTAATTATATTGTACCTTGCAGCCACCAGCTTCCAAATACTGCACCCTAACAAACACCTTCCTGCCGGAGCTGAGATCTGTGGTGACTCATAAGCGACAGACACCTTTTCTGCTTGCTGTACTACAGAAAGTGGAATGACTTCACTTTATTAGTTACCAGCACTTTTGCAAGTATGAATCTCATCTATATCTTGACTCCCCATCAAGGAGTCTCCCACAGAATTACAGATCCTGCGTAATATCCACAGAGCATCCCAATGGCACAACTGGGAGGACACAGCTGTTCCACCAGCAAAAGCTGCCCACGTAGCCTGAACATCTTGATAAATTCTCCATTCTTTTCAGGATGACAAGTTTTTGTTAGAAGAAGCCTAAGAAGATGCGTGGTTCTGGAGTTGCTAGAGCCAGCTACAAGACAGAGGTTGCAGGAAGAATGAAAAAAGCTGCACAGCACATTAGTTTCAGAACTTCAGAGACAAACCATAATGAAGCTTCACCCAGACATTGGCTTTTCCTTCTCTCCTAGCATACCAGGGACTGCTGATCTGGTTTAACAGCATTTTCATACCCTAGAAATGAATTAGGCAAATTTTAGCCAAGGAGGTGTCCCAGGAGTGAGGTCTCAAGTCTATGCAATTTTCATATAAATCAAAAATCAAGTTACAAAAACTAGAACACAAAAATTATAATCCTAGTTCACAAAGGTGTGCAGAACAGTTGAGTTATTTAGTAGCTACATGGAAAAATTTTCAGTCAGTTTCAGCTATGAGATCAGCGAAAATTTTGTAGCAGAGCAGCCTTCAGGCAAATGAAAATCAAACCCTTTTTTAAAACATCTGATCTTCACTCAGTTGACTCATCTGGAAAAATCTATATTTAGTGTTGGCACAGGAGGACAGTGATCTGGCACTTCAAGTGTGTTTTTAAGGCTCTCGGGAGTGTAGGTGCTGTTATAAGAAGCAAACACAATGCTAGCAAGCGGTGCACAAGAAAAACAGTTCTGTAAATAGTTGCCAGGTTTGAGAGCCTGTGAAGTCTGGGCTTTTTTCTTTTGAAAACTATTTTAAAAAAATAGAACAGTGGCTTACACCTGAGCCAAACTCCACAGTGGTTCTGTGGCATTACCAAAGCGTTAAGAGCTGAACCTAACCAACAACTTGCTCAAACCACACTGATTTATTGATAGCAGTCTCCCAAAAAAAGATATATAAAACTAAATCATCCCCCTTCACACTACAGCAAGCAAACATTTCTTCTCACCCTATTTAACAGCAACAGTAACTTCAGTGCAAAATTGCTATTACTTATACCTACAAATTTCTGACAGAGAAACAGCTCAGAGTTAAAGGTCAAAAAAAGGTAAGTGGGATATTTCAGAAAATAAGCACTGTAAGCACAACAAAAAAAATTAATGCAAACTAGCAAGAGCCAGCATTGAGCTTTTTGTTCTTGTTCTTGCATACTGAATTTGGATTCTGTTTCTCTATATTGCTAAGAGTGTATCTTCCAATTTTGGCTTAAAGGTTGGGTAATACATCTTTTTTAGAGCGCATTAGAAGGAATAAATGTAGTGAAATTGATGTAAAGAGACACCAGGCTCTCTGTAACTAAGATTGAAGCAAACAATTATAAAACTTATTTTTTGGCCAACAAATTCAATTCACCAAAATGAAACCAATGCTTTCAAGACATTTTTCATGGGCTTTTTGCATCAGTCACTGGCAATTTTGCTATTGACTTCTAGCGGAAACAAAAGCAAGCCATATACCATGGTAGAATATTTCTAGAAAATAATAGAAAAATCTAAAACTATTTTAAAAACCTCTTTCCTGACAAAGACCAAAACATCTCATTGTATGAAGCCAATTTTATCATCTCTTTATTTCACCGCAAATATGTCTTCAACCTGAAAGTATATTAAATTATTTCAGTTGGACAACTCCAAAAGAATGGCATTATCTGGCATAAACAAGCATAACAGTATTGGCCATTCGTTATTAATTGCTGCTTATCCAAATATCGTTGACCTGTAGGGTGCATTTTGCACCACACCAACTAAATCCCTCATGAACTGCTCAAAGCCACCTGTCAGTTTAGGACCATAAGTCAATTTGACCCATCAAATGTGACCGTGCATTGGCTTGCCTCAAAGCTGCTTTGCCATGAGTTCCCAATGCAGCAAATATATTTACTGCTTCCAGCATATAAGAAGAGACAGGCTTCCCGGAACATGAAAACCAGACACTACAGGAAGATTTAGGTCATCACAAGAGTTTTGTCTTCCAACTTTTCTCGCTGGCATTTTAACTATTTTGGATTTAAAACATCATTTGCAATTTAGTAATCATAAAAAAAATATTTACTGGTTCTTCAGGACATTCTATTCTAAGTTATCTACATATTTTTTATATAAGGTGACGGGTATAGGAAGGTAAAATGCTCTGCCCAAAGTCAAGGAGAAAGCAAGTCTTGTAAGCGGAACAGGCAGCAAAGTCTCTTAAAACTCTGATGGGTAACAAAAAAATACCATGTGCCATGATAGTAACATCCTCCAGATGAGGCAAAACATCTATATCTAATCCTATTCATAAAGGAATACAAAATTACTGTACAGAAACTACAATAAGAAATTATTTAAGAAATATGCTAAAGAGTAGTTAAGAAATAATTTATTCTTTCTTAAACATTTGGTATTGAATGCTTTTTATAAATGAGAACTATTCCACCACATTCTTGCAGTTCACCCATACTATTTTTTATTTTTTAAGCTAGCCTTTGAATTCGAGGTGGGGTTTTCCCAATAACATTTTTGTGCTTGATATCAACTGTTACAGCTTGTCTAATCCTGAAAGAAAAGAAGAGGAAACCTAGGGATTCCCCATTCTTTCTCTACTTCAATCTCAGATTTGATCATATTTTACTACACAGTTGCTTTTTCCTCATTTATTCTCAGTTCAGTAGTGTCATGGGTTGTTTGGGGTTTTTTTTCCTGGTGTCTTAAATCAAGTATTAAATAGGTCTTAAAAAACAAAGTCATTCTTCATTTCATTTCCATCCACCAAGGGCTACTGTCTCTTTCAGTCTCTTTCTGTCAAAATAAATAAATAAAGGAAAATTACATGCTTTATTTCTCATATCAGAAACCACTGTTTTTTACACTAGATATTATGTTAACCCAGAAGTCCTGCCTTCTATCATCTGAAACAAAATTATTTCAGATGCATCAAAATACATGACCAACCCAGTACCATGATGTAGTGTGATTATTTCTTATATTGATATTCCACTAAATAGTTTGAAAGACAAGGAAGCACTGAGAGCTACTTACTGATTTCTCTTCACCTTCTATCCCACATTACAGTAATATGTTTGATTTAACATGTCCTAAAAGTATTTCCTGGGAATTCTGTAGACTGGACTATTCAGCTGTATAAAAATACTGAAGACAACACTGACTCTTCATATAAGAATTCATTAGTCTTAGTTTTATTCACTGAGCAAACAAC